AACTGGAAGTCTGGGTACCTCTGGACCTGTGGGTTAAGAGGGGTACCCGTGAAAGGTGGCAGGGCAGGTGGGGGTCAGGGCAGGACAACCAGGGGCCAGCAAGCTCACCTCCGAATGATCAGCTACAATCATTAGCTCAATAATCTTGGTCTCTGTCACCACATCCCGCCGCCACTGTGGACAAGAAGGAGCCTCAGGCACACGGGCCGCTCACTGCCAGCAGCTGCAGGGCTGACCACGCTGTGTCCACTCCCACCTGAGGACAGTGAAGAGCCCCTCTTCCAGAGGAACCACTGAGAGCCTGAGAGGCTAGGGACTTGCCCAAGGTAGGCCAAGAAGTCGGTTAGGAAGCTGGGAGCAGAGCCCTGCTTTTCTGGCTCCAAATTCAATGTGTTTTTCCCCAAATTAAAATAATAATAATAATAATAGCCAACACCATCAAATACCATATGTCAGGCACAGTTCTAAGCACTGTACCTACATATTGAATCACTTAATTTTCATAGCAACCCTGTAAGATCCATGGTTTTATTATCTCCATTTTACAAATTAGGAAACTCAGTTTTTGTTGCTTTATTATTGGTAACTATGTATTTTCTATGTCCAAGTGAGCTCTCTACATATGGGATCATAAGACATGAGTTGGAGTCTAGTACATACATCTAAATCCTTGATATACCACTTATTAGTTGAATGGCCTTGGGCAAGTCATTTAATCTCTCACTAAAATAGAGCTATCAATAGCACCCACCTCCCAGGGTTGCCGGGAAGAGTGAAGGAGATAATGTGCATAAAGTGTCTGGCACGTGGAAATTGCTCCATTAGCAGGAGCTGTTGTTCCTGTGGACAAATTGCTCTGAGGGTCCCGGGGCCAGCCCTCCTGCCACTCCTCCTTACCCGGCGGATATGATGCTGTCCCAGGGGGCGCTCTGGTGGAGCCTGAGTGGACACCGGTTCACGCCAGCTCAGGGTGCAAGTGTGGCCCGGCACGGGGAGATCCTGGATCCGGGAGACGATGGGAGGACCCTGAAGGTCCCCAGGCCTCAGCTCCAGGGTATAGCTTTTCTCTGGGGACAGGATCACCAAGCCCCTAGAGAAAGAGACAGGAAGTCAGACAACTTTTCAGCTCCAGGCCTCATACCCTGCCATCTCCCCACTTTTGTGGACTCTACCCACTGTACCTGAGCCCGGAGCAGGTGCAGACGGAGGCCCAGGAGTCTGCATGGCCCTGCACTCCGCCCTGGTAGCAGCAGTTCTCCTACAGCACAGAACAGAGCGCCAGTTTGCCGGGTAGGCCAGGTTTCAGCCCAGGAGACTTGCCATCGTCCAGGGTCCTCCCATCGTCTCCCGGATCCAGGATCTCCCCATGCGGGGCCACACTTGCACCCTGAGCTGGCGTAAACCGGTGTCCACTCAGGCTCCACCAGAGAGCCCCCTGGGACAGCATCATATCCGCCGGATAAGGAGGAGTGGCAGGCAAGTCTCCTGGGCTGAAATCCTCCAGGGATGGCCCCCTCCAGCTGCCCCTCCCTCCTTTCCTCAGGCCAGAAACAGGGCATTAGAGGGCCCGACTCACCAGAGTGTGTCCCTCACTAACTACCCTGGTGCCATCAGGTTGGTACCACACCAGGGCTGGGTGGCCGGGCACTAGCTCCCTGTGGAGTGAAGACAGCAGTATCAGCTCTCTCCCAGGGTGCTGCAGGGCCAGCCTGCGGCCTGAGGTGACAGCGGCTTAACGGGGTGCCAGGCATTGCCCCATCCTTCCTGTTTCCCCCCTGAGGCAGCAGAGCATAGTGGTTGGGCCACAAATTCTGCCAGGCTTTCCGGGTTCCAACCTGGATTTCACCACACACGAGCTGTGTGAGCTTGGGCAAGTTATGTAACCTCTCTGTGCCTTAACTTCTTTAGGTATAAAACGAGGACAGTAATAACACATGACTTGTATCTCCTTGTAGGGCTGTTGTGAGGATTAAATGAATTCAAGCACTTAGTACCTAACACACAGTAAATGCCATATCAGTTGTTAGCCATGTTACTGTTATTATCATTATCATTATTACCCCGGCCTTTACCTATTCTGTAGCAGCTCCAGGATATGACTCTCACCATCCAATTCCAATTTGATCCGTAAAGTCTCAGGCAGGCTGGTCTGTGGGCACCAGAGAGCAGGTCACCGCCCTGGCCCTGCCCCCAAATTCCTATTCTCCCTGACCAGAAAGTGTCAGGCCCTTAGGAGAGCACCAATGATTACATCACTGATTGGGGGGGCTGTCCCAAGGGAGGGGTCAGGAAGGCCTGTCTGGCCTGGGGCATTGTTCTGGGGGGTTGTGCTGGGAGGTCAAAGAAGGTATCTTGAGCCGCCCCCTTCTCGGCTTCCTGCCCAGAGAGGAAGCATCTCGGAGGACTCGGTGCAGGCCCCAGCCCTTCCTCTGACTCAGCTTTAGAATTGGGGGTAAGGGGGGGGGGCATTGGGTGAGGTCCTGCCTCTCTCTCCAAATCCCTCCACCGAGAAAACCAACAAATGAGACCAAGAAATCAAGTTTGACCTCAGGATTTCCCAGTGGCCATGGATGGGCTGGGTGGGGCGGAGGCAGATGGGTGGAGAAGGGGGAGGGAGCTAAATGAAGCCGGGTGCTGGGGTGCGATGGGAGCGGCGGCCGGACCTGGGGTGGCCGAGCCACAGTGAGGTCCACTCACCTGCTCTTCAGTCAAGCTTTACCTTCAGACACCTGAGGGGGGGGGGCAGGGGTGGTACTTCACTTGGGGCACCGAGAGGCTCACCTGAAGCACCTCAGCTATGCTGAGTGTGAGGTTGTCCTGAAGGATCTGGGGTCCCAAGGGCCCACTCGGGGTCTTCTCTGGAATTGCCTGCTCCTCCTTGGTGCCACCTGCAGGGTCCCCAGAGAACCCCAAGAGCATGCTGAGACACTCAGCACCAGCTGGTGCCCTCGGACTGCCCTGGTTCCCAGGTACTTCAAGGCCCTTCTCTGCCTGAAGGGCTCCTGAACTGCGGGCTGGGACTTAAAGGAGAATACTGGGGGTGGGGGCTTCCTCCAATAGTGGGCCTGCATTCCACCAACATCCCCAAATCCCCAAAGAAATTGAGCTCCCCAGCCTGTGGCTCCTCCCTCTCGCCCTCAGGCCAATCCCAGGTTCTCATAGGGGCCCTCTCCCCTCCCACTCCCACCCAATCTCCCTCCCCCCAAGCAACGCCCCCTACGAGGACTGAGGGAAGCCTGGTGGCTGGGTGCCCACTCACCCTCCCCTTTTCTCACGTCGGAGATGCTGGGAACGCCCATTTCTGGGTGAGCAGTGCAAACACCACCATGCCCTCCCTAAACACCCCTCATGCCCAGTTAGGCACACCCGCTCCCCACAGCCTCTGCTTCCTCCCTGGGTCCCCCCCTCACACAATGGCCCTCTCTCCTCCGGACACTCCACCCTCGCCTGCCCGCTCGGCCCCCGGCCCAAGACCGCAGCAGGAAGTGAAAGTTCCAAGGAGGAGTTGGTGTCCCAGCCTCTTTCCTGGCCAACTCTCCCCTCTTTTGGCGTCTCCCGGGCCCCCGCCAGCTCAGCCAGGTTTCTGGTGGCATCAGCGCCAGAGCGAGAGGTGACTGGCCGTTCAGGCCTAGAAGGTGGCGGCAAGAATCCTCTTCGCCAACCTTACGAGCGTGTCCACGGGGCACCCTGGCCCGGGTGAAACGGCCGGCCAGGCCCCAAAGGAGCGAGGCCTCAGTCCTGGGGCGCAGTGACCC